ATATCATGCAATTATAATTGAAGCTTATATCATGTGCACGTATACTACGATCACCGAACCAGTGTTTTTTATATCATGTGCACGTATACTATGCTCACCAAACCAATGTTTTTTTTATATCGTGTGCAGATATACTATGTTCCTTTGGGAGCATAGTTTACTTCTACTCACTAGGTCAAACAAAGGAGCATAGTTTACTTTTACTCCCTAGGTCAAAAGACTTACTTGGGAGGATTTTTTTCAATTTAAAATTTTAAAAATTGTTAGATGATTATTCTAAAGCAAAAAAGAAAAAAAATTGAAATTTGAGTTTTCTAACACTTGGATCTTACCATCCGATCTCTATTAAATCTTAAGACAATATTTTTTGAAGTGCATAGTATATAATTAGAATTTTTTTTGTTAAATCTATAGGTTGAACAGATTACATCCCTAAACTTTAGGATCCTAAATTAATTCTGGGTGAGATTTCACCCGAGGGAGCAAATGAACATTGTACTCTTGTAGGAGTAGAATATCTTTGGGTTTCATAGTTGAGTTTTGGGTTTTTAGGATTTTTCACACTTTTGAAATTGGCAATATAAAATTGTTCCTTAGACGCTTCCTCCCACGTTTTCCAATATCAAGACCGATTGTTTAAAAAGTGACATGCTAAATATAGCTCTCACGTGATAATCACAATTCCTCTATATAAAAATAAAAATAAACCATTAACCTTTTCTTTTTCTCCATAATTTGTTTTTGTTGTTTATTAGCATTAAGAATTTTGTTTGCATATAAACCATGCACTTTATATATCCTCCCTCAGGCAAATCACTTTCTTGAGATATTATTTCTGTTTGGATGATTATTTTCAAATAAAAAATTTGGATTTTTAGTTCTTGAACATCAATATTATTCCCTCCAATAATTGGATGGCTGTTATGCTATCTTGGGATGCCTTTTTTGTTTTATTTTTATCTTTTAGGGACAAATAGAGTGAGAGTTAATTTTTGTTTTTTGAAGTTGATTACCTTCTTCTAGATATCACATCCCCAAAATGCCGGATCAAAAAGATATTCCTAGTGTAGGTTTTATATGAGGGAATAAATAGATAGTATACTCCTATGGGAATAAGAAATCTTTAAGCTCTTTCTTCCTTCTTCTTTCTTTCTCCTCTTTTTCTTCTTCTTCTTTTTCTTCTGCTTCTTCTTTTCTTCTTTTTTTTTTTTTTTGTTAATATTATTTATTTATTTATTTATCTTAAGTTGGGGTGTTTGAAAAATGGATGACCCAAAGAATTAACAAATCCCTATCAATTGGGGTTCTCAATTATGGCCACCCATTTTACGAAATAAAAGGGATTCGAATAAGAAAATTTTATTTTCCTTATTATTATTTTTAGGAAGTTATCAATGGCCATATTTGAAAAGATTTTTGTCTTTGTCATATGCATATCAAAAAGAAGTTTGATTTTAAAGTCAAAAGGGAAAAAAATTGATCTTCCTGATTGTTAGGGATCCCGATTAACATTGGAACTGTTGCAATCAGCGGCAAAAACAAAAATACAAAACCATCTACTCCCATGTTATAAAAAAAAGAAAAAAAAAGTTTATATTAGGTATCAACTCTATACTGAGAATAGAGGGCACAAAAAACAAATTCACCCAAAAATTTATCTTCAGACCAATGTTGTCATATTTACTTTGGAGATTTTTTCGGTTTGGTGAGATAAATGAAGCAATTTAGTGCTTCGACCAATTCGGGATAAGATTTTGGATTTTTTAATTTAATTTAAATAAACTAGATATTTATATATAAAAAATATTAAAAAATTTAATTTTTTTTTAAAAAAGCGTTTATTTATATATTTCTTTGTTTAGGCCAAAGATGTACCCGAAGCAAACCCGAATTTGCATGAAGTGGCAACACCAACGGAATATTTTTTTTTATAATTAAACCTAAACGGCAACACCAAGTCCTATAGTTAATCATCTCGGCCTTGAGATGTATAAATGTGAAAATAAAAAATTTCAAGTTTTAAAAGGAGTGTATGTTGCAATACTTTATCAAGATTGTCTACTGTTAAAATTCCTAAATATTTATAGGTCTACTTGATTACATTTTTTTTGAAGGCCCAGGTTATTACAAGGTTGGGTACCAAGACTGTTTAGCAAGGTTTGAAAAATGGGCGATCAGGATTGAAATCGCCTAACTCAGATTGGATTTTTCCCTGCCCACTCGGAATCCCCTCGTATATCGGGATTCGCCTGTGTTCCCTTCTAGATCACCGATTATACTGTTGTGAGTCGGCGATTCGCTATTGTAGAATCGCCGATATAGTGAAAAGCTCCAATTGCACGAGCCCTTTTTCATAGTTTTGGATCTTTTGGATCCACTTTTTTGGCTTTGAAAGCATTATTGGATGGGAATGATTGAATCCATTGAATCAAACACAACATATGTGAATTTTACGGATCGATTTAGTATTTGAAATTGGGTTTCTTTTCATGTTCTTGAGAAAACACGCCATTTCTTCTATTTCAGCTTCAGTTTCGATCAAAATCATTTGTATTTTGGTTGAAATTGAACTTATTTGAATCCTCCACAACATTATTGTGCCAATTTTCCCGATGAAACGAGCATTGTATATCAAATTTTGGATCGAAAGCTAGGGTTACTGAAACATTCACAAAAAATAAAACTATGGATTGACAACACTGTTTTTGGCCGATATCGATCGAATCTCATTGAGATTTCTGATCTATAAAGCCTTGAATCTAACATAACTCAGGTTTTCTTTCTTTTGTTTTTTTTTTTTTTGTAGATATTTTCTAGCTTGCATGTTCTGCAAAAGTTAGGGTCCCATTTTCATATATTATTCCTCAAATTTGAATCAAATTACTTGAAATCTGATTCAAAATGATCCTAATGAAACTACATTTCATATTATAGATTCAAATTAATGGATATGGACAAAAAATAACATGAATTTGAGGTAAACTGAGGATCGGTTTTTTTAGAATTGTTTTAAATTAATGTTTTACTAAATAAAAATTAGGGGTTTTATGTATATTGGTTATATATGCATGTTATGTGTGAAACAATTTATTTATTTATTTATAACTAAACCAAATTTTATGGATATGTTTTCCAATTTTTTGGGGAGAAATATTTCTCTAAAGTTTTTATTTTTTATTTATTTTTGTAGTGTTATAAAGTTATAAACTGGAAATTTATAAGGGTAATATGGAAGTGCTTTTTCTATTAATTTTCAGGTAAAAATCAATAATACATTTTGCATTTTTTTCTAATTATAGTCCACCGCTTTGACCAACCATTTTAAGTCTCCCATTCCTTTGTCCACCATTTTCAAGTAGAGTTTCCTTATTCAATTCTAAACATGGCATGTGTAATTATTTGTATTTCATTATTACCACTCTTTTTTGTTTATTTATTGTTTAGGGAGTGTTCTGTTGTTTATTTATTGTTTAGGAAGTGTTCCTAAACCCTTGACCCATGGCGTGCTAAGCCTAGTTCAGTCAGATAGGCATCGAGGATTCTAAGGCATATATTGATCGACTCAATAAATTATCAAGACAATTCAATAAGTGATATCAGCATCGAGGATTCTAAGGCATATATTGATCGACTCAATAAATTATCAAGACAATTCAATAAGTGATATCAACACGATGAAGAGGAAGAACAATGCCACCTTTCATTCCATTTTGGACTATGTATTCATATATGTAATGATTGTAAGTTTTTTTTTTTTTTTTCGAGTGATATAAATGTAATGGTCAACATACATCCAAATAGGAGAATGACGTCTCAATATCAATGTATTTTTATAAAATAATGAAAGTACATAATGCACTGCCCTAATTTTTTTTGAAAACTAAAAAAACACTATTTTTAGATGTTTTTAACGCTTTTTGAGGCCAAAACCGTGGCTCCGGCCAATTCTCTTATTCAGATCACCAGTCAACTAATCCGAAACGATTTTTGAGGTGGTTGATTGGGGTCACCAATCCATATTTTTAAGGAAAATATTTTCATAGGGCTGCAGCCCTGTCAAAATAATTAAAGCCTCACCTCTAAACTCACCAAAAATTGTCAGTCCTGACGCCAAAAGGCCTTAAAATCGATACTATTATGATTATTAGAATTTCAAGTCTTAAAAATAGTATACATCGTAATATATTATTTATGTCATTCATTTCACCTTATTAATAAACGTTCATGGATCCATAAAATTTATATTATCTTCTAAGCTTTAGATTTTTATATTTTTGAAGTTTCAGATTTTATAGTCAATATTAAAATTTGATTTTAAAGCCATGATAGAGATTAGAATACCTAAAGTACATTCCGAACTAGGATTAAAAAAAGTGGGATTTTACTTTATTTTCATAAAACCTAGGTCTTATATAAATACAATTTTTTGAGCTTCATGTTGAGGAAGATTTAGAGGTGGAAACTTTAAAAGTAGAAGCACCCAAAAACAAAAACATCTTTCAGAATTTCAAATGACTAAAATACCCTTCAGGATCAATGTGTGGCGCGTGCCTTGGACGCGAGAGTAGCTTTTTGACGTCCGAAAGTCCAACACCCCATCCTTAAAAGAGGAGGAGGGCAAGTCCGATATTACGTCAACTTTAAAGGCTCATTAATGTACCTCTCGCTTCTTGGTCTCCACGCCACTGGAAGATACCAGCCGTGGTCGCCCACTCGGATTTTAGTATAACTTCCAAAAGCGCTTGGGGCAAAATCGTAATTTCTATGAGAACAAATTAGAAATTTCGGGAGAAAAATGCGGCATTTTAGAAAGTCGACCTTTGGCACCGTCCCGCGTAACTCGGACGGGCATGTATGACATGATGCCATGCATAAATTCATGAATGACACATGACACATGGCATGGGTCATGCATCGCATACCACTTCCCCTTATTTATTTGGGGAAAGCGGCAACGTTAAAGCATTTGACCGCTTCGTAAAGAGCGTTTGGGAGAGAGAAAGAGGGGAAGAGAGAGGAGGCGGTTTTTAGAGAGAGAAAGGGGGAAGAGGTTACAGCCCTGAGAGAGAAAGGGGCTCCCACTGTGTTACAGAGACCTCTCAGAAGAGGAGAGAAAAGGAGAGAGAGGTTTCCTCTAGAGAGAGAAGCAGCTCGAGATCTGTGTCTCTTATTTAACTAATACCACTTTCTCTCTCTTATTTTCCGTCTGCACTGTGTCTCTCTCTCTCGCTCTTTTCCTTATCAGTCCATATCTGCACCGCCTGTTACAAGTCTCCAAATCCCTGGTTTGTCATAAACAGAGACGCAGAGAGAATCACAACCATAAGCCTCAAAACACCCTATCTACCCCGGTTTCTCTCTCTACCCCGGTTTCTCTCTCTAGATTCTGGCCTGAGTTCTTCTGTTTTTTATGGTTTTCTTTCTGGTTCTCTCTCTTGCTATTAGAGAAGGAGAAAGCGAAGCGAGGGGAGTTTCTGGGTCTTATGTCGGCTCGCACTGAGTTATCGATCGGAGCTCAGCAGCTCTGGCTTTTCATACCTTTCTCTCTCATCCTGCTTTTTCGCATGCAACAGAAGCTTCATCTAATATCAAGCATCAGTTCGAGTTCTTTCTCTCTCCTCGCCTTAAGGAGCCCAAAGACCTCGGGCCCCTTCTCTCCCATGCATATCTCATCAAACCAGTATGAACACATTACTTTCTCTCTCTAGGGTTTTGGGTTTATCGCAACATGGTTTTTTTCTGATTTTTTTCCCCTTCGCTGCGGTTTGTTGGCTCATTTTTAACATGGGTTTTTCCCTTCTGGGGTTTTGCTTTAGCTCTAACTTGTATTTTCCTGGTATTTGCAGGGCTAGCTTCAAAGACAGACGCTTAATCAATTCGTTGTTGTTCTTATTCTTCAGAGGACTTCTCACGTAACAAGAACTCGAGGAAAGGAGCAGAGCCCAAGAGCTATTTTTTTCCTTTAGAGAGAAATAGAGATGCCTGGGCCTCAGATTCAGCTTTTTAACCAGGATAGAGCGTGCAGAAAACCGAAGAAAATGGCTAGAAGGGTTCGCATTCTCTGCGATGACCCAGACGCCACTGATTCCGATTCTTCAAGTGAAGAAGAAGGGGCCATGAGAAACCCAATAAAAACCAGTAAGAAGAGAGTTATTCAGGAGATCTATATCCCTTTTTCGTGTTCTGTTCCCGTTATAGAGATAGAGAGCTCTGCGGACAGTAGTTTTAGAGAGAGAAACAAGGATAGTAGCATTAGGGAGAGGAACAAGTTGGAGAGTGGCTCCACAGAGAGAAACCGGATGGAGAGTAGTTCTAGAGAGAGAAACAAGCTGGAGAGCAGCTCTAGAGAGAGAAACAGTGTGAAATCTAGCAGGAAGCCAGGCAAATACAAGGGGGTAAGACAGAGAAGATGGGGAAAATGGGCAGCTGAGATTAGGGATCCATCTAAAAAAGGAGTGAGGATTTGGTTGGGTACTTATAATAGTGAAGAAGAAGCTGCAAAAGCCTATGAGAGAGCTGCTAAGAAAATGGAAGGGGCTGGTTCCTCTTCTGCTTCTCTCTCTTGTGTGTCAGAGGATGAACAGTATTCTCTCTCTTCCCCTTCCTCTGTACTCGACAACGTATCGACATCGAACTCCTCCATTTGTGGGGCTGAGAGCTCTAGCATTCGCAAAGAGAGCGGAAATGGTTTAAGCAAAGGCAGAGGAAAGGGTTTAAGCAAAGAGAAAGAAAATGGATTAAGCAAAGAAAGAGAAGAGAACAGTTCAACTCCTGAAACCATGGGAGGGGGGTTTTTACAGGAAGATGCGATTGCATCAATGGATGATGAGGGTTTCAAGAAAGAGTTGGCTGCGTACAATAATGATTTGTTCGTGGTTGAGGAATTGGGCCAAGTTCTTGAGATGGGTTTTGACGAGATGGGGATTGATGAAATCGACTCTGGTTTTGACGAAATGGTTATTGATGAAATTGAGCCCCTCATATTTGGAGTGGAGAACGAGGGTGATGTTCCAAGTTTGGATTTTGATTTTGATTTTGATTCAGAGCCCATTGCTGAATGGGACTTTGAACCTCACCCAGTCCCTCTCCCTCTCCCTCTCCCTCTCTCTCTCCCTCTCACTTAATGGAGCATTTTTGCAGAGTAGGTTACTGGTTTTGCTTATTTTAATTTTCTGAGAGTATTTGATCTTTGAGGACTGTAAGTGGTTCTTTAGATCAGTTTTCGTTTGGGGTTTAGTTTGTTTGTTGAGGAGGTTAGTAGAGAGAGAGAGAGAGAGAGAGAGAGAGGTTTGGAAGAGTTGAAAGTATGGAAGGGAGGGAAGGCTTGGGTTTTTCCGTGCTTGAGAGCCGTCCAAGCTTTATCTCGTCGGTTTTGTTCTTCTCTCTCTTTGTACTGTTTGTCGGTCAAGAGTTTTGAGAGAATTTCGAGTAATTGATATTTTATTTTATATGTTCCTTCGTTGTTTTGTTGATGAGGAAGAAGTAATTCTTTAAGCAAATCACCGTTCATTATGGAGGCCTCGCCATGTATCTTTCTTTCTGGTGATTTAAGCTTATATTTTTTTGATTATTTAATCTCCATTATGTCTTTTCTATTGGACTTTTATTTGTAATTGATTGCAGAAAAGTCAAAACATGATGGTGGGTTATGCAGAGAGAGAGAGAGAGAGAGTGAGAATGGGGTTTTCAAGTCTTCGTAAATATTGGCTATTAAAGTGGTAATGAGATGGGGTTGGTTCTCAACAGAGATAATGACCAAATACCAATAAGAAGAGACGGGTTAATCAATATGGCATTGTATACAATGAGCCCACTATACCTTTCCCAATTATTTACAACTCTCCCATGTGAAATCTGATAAGTTGTTTGCGAAATCTGATAGGGTTGAGAAATTTACTTTCGAAGTTTGTGAGCTTGGTCAATGGAATGATTGGGGCTACCCAATTTCACATTCAATAGAATAATTGGAGCTACCCAATTTTACATCAAATGGTCAATATTAATGTGATCATTTTATATCAAAGATAAATGATTTCGTTTTATATTTTTTCAATCAGTATATATTTAGGCAGTTTCCCGATCAGTATATATCTCAAAAGAAGAGAGAAGGGAGTAGAAGAGCTAAGAGTAGTAAACATCCTATTTAAAAGGAAAATTCATCAAAATCACGAAAGAATAGAGAAGGGGGTAGAAAGCGAAGAGTAATTCAAACTTTTTTTTAATTAATTTGGGTAAGTTAATCATCATCATAAATTTTTTTCAATTAATTGGGGTTGATTAATTCCGTTTAACATTTTTACTCGAAGTTTTCAAATTTGGTCTCATAAACATATCACGAGTTGGATAACAATCGAGATGGAAAAGAGTCAACAATCGAGATCGAAATTTGGTCTCATAAACATATCACGAGTTGGAAAACAATCGAGATGGAAAAGAGTCTTAAGTTGGAAAACAATCGAGATGGAAACAATCGAGATGGAAAAGAGTCATTAAGTGCGTGTTATGTAAATTCTCAATAAACATATTGAAGGAGAGAAATTTAAGGGGGTCAAAATTTGATTGATAACAATGAAATGCTGTGCGGAATTAAAGAGGGGTTAAAAATAGATAAAAAGTATGCTACGAGGAGTTAGTACGCTAGTTGTCAAATGAGGGGAGGGAAGCTAAATGTGGTTTAAATTAAATAATAAGCACGCTTGTTATTGCAGGTTTAAATTGGATAGTACAGTAGATGGACCGGAGAGAAATTAAAAAGGGGTTCAGATTAAATTGGATAGTACAGTAGATGGACAGGAGAGAAATTAAAAAGGGCTTCAGATTGAATAATGCATACTAGGAGGGATGTAAGGGAGAGTAACAATAACATTATTAGAGATAAATTTATATATTATTTTCCGTAAGTTTATCTTTCTGAATTTGCTGAAAATTATATATTCCTAGTAAAAAATAGTTGAAGATATAACTAGAAATGACCAAAAATTAAATAAATAAGTTATATTATTTATTAAGTGAACCTATTAAAAAAGTGCATGAAAAAGAACCGGCCAAAAACCTGTTTAGATAAGTGAATCAGCTTTTACTATGCAAAAAAAAAAAAAGTCAACCCGTAAAAAAAACACATGAAAAACTATTGAACCGGTTAAAAACCGGTTCGAATCGGCGAATCGACAGTTCGGATCGCCGTTTTACTAGTTGGAACTACTAGTTTCTTTCGAGACTCGTTTGTTTTCCTATATATACGTAGAACCGGAACGAGATGACTGATTATCGAGTCGGACTAGGCGATTCAGAGTTGTCCCGATGTTTTTTAAATCATTTTTTTAATGAAAAAAAATATAAAGAGATTATTTACTTTAGGTATAAGGTGGTCACAATCAATCTTAACTTTTGAATGAAAACTTGAGTAACTGCATTTATTTTATTAACTAACTTAAACGTAATTTTTTAAAACTTATACTCAAGCTATCAAATTTCACATCGATTGATTGTAAGTAGTTGTGACGTCTGTATTAAAAATAAATAATTTTATTATATACAATATCTTATTTTAAACAACTATCATAATAATGTCAGGTATGCTACCATACTTTGAAAAAATAACCAAGGATCCAAATATACCCTAACCATATAAAAAGAGAGAAAAAGGTTCAAGGCGAAGGAGCTCATAATGGACAAAATGACATACACACCATCTCTCAAACAAAGTGACATGTTCCCCCTGCTTCTTTTAGAGAGAGAGAGGGGTACAAATCCTCACCTTTTAGAGAGAGAGAGAGGTCTTTTGCTTTTTGGTGGTGGTGGTGGTGGTGGTGGTGGTGGTGGTGGTGGTGGTGATGATGGAGGAGGAGGGATAGGATTCTGGAGGGAGGGATAGTGGACATTCCCTTTTTGTTTTTATTTTTTCCCTATGGGCATTAATTCCATATGAGCTTTTTTTTATTTCTCTTCCCTTTCTATCGTCTGTTTTACAGATGGACGGCTGGTGGTTGAAATTGGCGTTATGACGGTGGTGGTAGAAGCTTTTAGACTTTTCCCTTGTTATCTGCGCCATTGTGGTTTGACTGAGCAGTCGCATCTTTCACTTTTTGTGGTAACAAAGTCTATGATGCTCCAGCGCCTACATGCTCCCCCCCTAACCCCAACATGTCTACTGATATATTGGTGATGTGATGTGATTTCCTAGATCGCTGATAATTTATTGCGGTTTGTATAGAGCCTAGGCTCTAAACAATTAAATTAGAGCCTACCTTTAAATATTATCGAATGATATGGTTTTATTATTGAAAATCTTTTTAATAGCCTTCGAATATTTTTTCATATTTATTTATAAAATTTAAAGCTACAAAAATAGTATAGTTCGACATATCTATGAACACTTGAAAACTGGCGATCTAAAAATACGTTACAAAATACACTATTTTCAGAACTTGATATCTATCTTTTTCTTATGTCTATACATTTTGATGTCGATATGATCAATTTGAAGACATTTGAGCATCAAAGCAACCTCTTATAATGAAAATTTAATTTGAAGTACCCTCAAATTTGATTGTTTAGAGCCCCGGCTCTATATAAACTTTTCCCATAACTTAATAATGTTTTTTCACACTATTTTGAATGCAAAAAATTTATATAGAGCCTAGGCTCTAAACAATCAAATTAGAGCCTACCTCAAAAGCTTCACTAAAAGAAGTTATTTTGAAACACAAATATTCTCAAATTTATCATCTCGATATCAAAATGCATGAACATATGAAAAAAATGGATTTTAAGTTTTAGAAGTAGTGCATCTTGTAATGTATTTTTAAAGCTTTAAATTTTTTAATTAAAAATACAAATATATTTTAAGGCTATCAAAAAGATTTCCAATATTGGAACCACATTTCTCGATACTATTTTTAGGTGGGCTTTACTTTAATTGTTTAGAGCCTCAGCTCTATATAAACCGCACTCATTTTGAATACTCATTTTGATTGATTTAGAATCTCATTTTTCCTTCAAATGCTTGGGGAGAGTGCTGCCCGCTCTTGGGACTTTTTTATTTGGGATTGTATGCTATGTTCATTTATGTTTAGAGAAAGTTTATATAAGCTTGAAGCCTTAAAATGTAGAATTAAAGATGCACCTAAAAAATGCCATCATAAATGGTTGCTTGAATGTTGAAAAACCCTCAGTTGATCATCTCGACATTGAGATGTATGAATATAAAAAAAAAAAAGGGATTTTGAGTTCCAGAAATAGTGTATTTTATAACACATTATCTAGGCCACCCATTTTCAAGATGTACCTATGTTCATAGATCTATTTGATTTTAACCATTTTTGGAGTTTAAAATTTTATTATTAGGGATAAAAATAAATTTTCATATAATCCTAAGAAATTTTTTCACCAAAACAACCATAAAAATTTGGGGGGTCGCCTTAATTGGATTGTTTAAATTTGTAACCTTATACAAACCACACTTTTTATGTTTAGTATAAGGAGGTCACAATCACTTTTAGTGAGAATTTAATAGATAAAAGTGTTTCACAATATTCGACAAATTTTATTTTGGATTTTGTTTTCAAATAATGATACATCCTCAACTACAATATTTCAAATCTAATGGTCAATAATGATTGTGAACCCTTTGTATAAAAAATAAATGAACTTAGTGTTCACATTTCCTTTTTATTTTACATAAAGTTTTCTCCCTTGTAGGAGCATATTGTTTATTTGAGAATATTATCCACATGTTCCCTCAGGTAAATTGAAGACTAAGTATTTTTAGCACTAAAACTTTGGAGATCTAACATTTTGTACCCAAATTCCTGCCACCAAAAAAAAAAGAATATTTTTTTTCAAATTGCACCCTTTGTAGTTGAAAAAGCGAGTTCCAAGATTTAGCACTTCCCACTTTCTAGAGGGCAAGATTTGAGTACTGGACACAAATCTGAAGATTCTTAGGCAGGTCCTTGAAATCACAATTTTTTTTTTCCAAGTAGCTCTTTTGCCCGAAAGAGCTAATGTACAGTAAGGCTCCAGAGGGAGCACACGCCACAGGAGCTAATTTATTGGAAAGTGGATTTGCTAGTGGGTAGGTTTTGTTTGTCCTCTATATTTCTTTATTTTATCCCTTGTTGCGGAAAATGGAATGATTATTGGATTTACAAGTGGATGGATTTTGTTTATTTATGACCGGTGAATATTGTTTCTCTGTTTCATGATCCGTTCCATTACTGGATTTATTGGCGGGTGTTCTTTCCTTAACTACCGTTGCGTATCTTAGGCGGTTGGGATTTTACATAAAATAAAGAGGTGAAAAGTTTCAAAGCCGTATATATATATTATTAGTAGGGGGGCACTTCTTTACGAAAAAGAATGGAAGAAAGAGAGAAGGAATTGTAGAAAATGTGCAAGTGTTAAGAAAACGTCTCTCCTGCGTCCCCACGATGGATACGATTCACTTGCGCTTCCCCACCCCACGTGTATATATATATATGTAGCAATCGAGTACCGATGCGACGCGAGAG